CTGGGCGATAATTTACATCCGGCAGCAAGTCCTCTGATCGGGAGGTTTTGACGAGCTTAATGGCTGTTGTTACCATGTCCACCCTAGCTCGAGATGGTAGCACCTGTTAGGGCCCCAACTATGGAAATAGTAAGCCCCAAACCGAGGGTCAAAACACTATGAATTCATAAAAATAGATTTTTTTTATAGTAAAAATACTAGTAATCCTTTAAAATATATTACAGCAATGCATTTCTGATAAAAAATACATTACCAGCAATGTAAAATCCTCTTTATAATAATACGTAAAAAATGAGTCAATTCAACCTGATGTCCTACAAACTGATTTCTTAGAAAGAATACATATTCTATTCATACGAACCTATAATGAAATTCTTGTCGTCATTAAATAACCCATTGAGGTTGGTATACCGTAAATCAAAATAAACCAAATCAAATACTACATATTCTATTCATACGAACCTATATTAAAATTCTCATTAAATAACCCATTGATATTTTGATATCCCGTAAAACAAAGTAAACCAAACCGGATCTACAAACTTACAAAGACTACATATTCTACTCATACGAACCTATCCTAAAAATCTTTTCGGCATTAAATAATACATTGAAGTTGATATGCCGTAAATCAAAATAAACAACATGAAAGAATACATATTCTATTCATACGAACCTATCCTAAGAGTCTTTTCGACATTAAATAACCCATTGAGGATGATATGTCGTAAATCCAAGGAAACCAAATTAACGAATACATATTCTATTCATAGGAGCCTAACCTAAAAATCTAGTCAGCATTAAATAACCCATTGAGGTGTTGATATGCCGCAAAACAAAATAAAACTAGACATAAATCAAAACAAAAATCTGTCTTTGCAGTTGCTCTTGAAATGGAATATATCTCAAAATAAAAATTCATAAGTATATATACTCTTTTGAAACGTTATTTGAGTGGTCTGATTTTAATGTTTTCGAGAACTGGGATTGAGTCTTCGTATGGATCGTTCGAAACTATTTACGAAACTCTCTACAAATACATTGACCTTTTGTAATGATGGGGATATCATTATTATTATTATTGTTGTCGTTAGAATTGAACTGTTTGTTAAGACACACTGGATACTGTGACAGAAGCTATATAAAGAAAAACGCTATAAAGCTTGTCAGAACTGACCTAAGCGCAATCCTTAAGTGATTTGACCTACGAGCAATCCGAGATGCCAGTCCATACAAGCGTCTATTCAGCTGGGAATGAACGGCAAGGCTGAACAAAAACAAAAAAATCTTTGCTGTGGCCATGTTAGCGCTAGAAATAAAGACACAAGGGCGGAATAGAGTTTAACAAATATATTAACAGAACCAGTAATACAAACGAGAGAGTGACAGTAAGAATATTCCTTCCAGCTCTCAGAGGTGACTGCTGGAAACTTCCCTCACTAAAAGGCAGTACCTGCTCCTGTTTATAGCTAACAAAGTCTATGCGTGCGTGGGGGTATTAGCATAACACACTTTTAGTTTCTAGATTGTCATATTAACTTAGTACATAAAAATGCGAGAGATCGTAAGATTTATAAAAAATATATAGGTTTTGATGATTTTAGCGTAGCTTAGATGTGGCACCAGGCCAAAACTAAGGGACAACCTGTGAGGATATCACTCACTTCGTAAATGATTTAACGAGACAAGATGGCTAACCATTACACCACGTGTAAGTATCCATATTTATATTACTTTCGGGATGAGAAACAATAAGAGGAACGCAGATGATGTCACGATCTTACAACATCACTTTTCATAATAACGTTTTCAGTGTATGTCCTCCTTTAATAAACTTGCCGAAAACAGGGCTCAAGAGCCACTTATGGTAGAGCGCTAATGAATAAAGCGGGTGATATAAACGTAAGAGGATGCGGAAGGAAGTGAAAAGTATGAGGATAAGGAAGATTGAAAGAGATTGACCCTTGACCCAAACAGGTTGAGACTGGAGCATACAGTAAATCATTCATGCAGTAGTTTTTTTTTTATTCCACAAAGTTGCAGTTTTCGGAGAAAAAGCTGGACTTCAACCTTACAATTGGAATACAGAATACATGCGGACTGAGCATGAAAGCTATAAAGGTCATCAAAATATGAAAATATGTACAGAAAGGTCACAGTGAAGCTACGGGAAAGATGTAAAGAACAGAACAGGAAAGGACAACTCAACACCGCCGACTCAATTTACTGAGCGATGGGATAACAAGTCAGGAAAGAATTTCGATTTACTTTATTAAGAAATAAATTATATTAGCATTTACTTTATTAAAAATAAGTAAAAACAAAAACCCCTTAATTCTGTTTTGCATTTTTAGATTTACATTATTAAAAAAAAAATGAAAAAATGCGTTTTATTCAATTATTTTTATATGTCAATTTACTTTATTAAAAATAAATTTATTTACGATTTAATTTATTAAAAATAATTAAAAACAAAAAAAAAACTGGTTTATATTTTACATAATGCTGTTTCAAACGCCTTATTTGAAGAAAATAATATACTGGAATAAATGTTTTAATCCTTAATAAATTACTTTTATTCAGTTATAAAAATGTTATGTTTTTTTTTTCTGGTGCTGAGTTGTCTCAGTCCTGCGTTGTCCTGACGCTTAGTCGACGATGTTGTGTTGTCCTCCACCCCTAAAGAATGTCTAGTAAAAAAAGCGGTGAATTCAGAAAGAAATTTATTTAGTTATCATGATTCATACAAGAAATGAACAATCATCTTAGATGCTTGAAATGTTTATCTGAATGTTCAACACAAAGTTGTAAGCGTGGTAACCAAGAGGAAGTAGTTTTGCAGATTGTGTCAAGTGGAATTTCATTCCAGGCTTCAGTTAATTTTAACTTCAATGAATCAATATCGACGATGTCACGACGACGGTTTTGCAAGTGAGTCCGGAGTACATTCCAGATACAGTAATCTGTAATATTCATATCTGGGTTTTTAGAGAGGGTCACTGAGATGGACCAATTAGAGATGGTCTATTTTCTCGAGGAATAAATTTGCGGCTTTTTTTTTTTTACTGGGTACCAGTTAGTACAGAATGTACAAGAGACAGGAAGGATAAGATGGCGGGGATTTAGCAGAGAAGGGAGCGGTAAAAGTCTGTTGAACGAGAAATGACAAAGTAAAAGACAATGGTAAAGAAGAAAAGAAATTTGAATATGAAAGAGAGATGGGACAGAAACATTGACAAGAAAATAAGCAATCGAGACAAATATAAAAAAGTACAATTGCAGTTAGAAGAAGCACAGTGAAATAAAAGGCCTAATTTGGGAAACTGGAGTGGAAGGTTTAATACCGTGTATACTCGTGTAAAGTACGATCTTATCATATATCTCATGTATCAAGGTAAAGAGTCAGTTAGAGATCGAATTAAATGAATGAATAAATAAAAGAAAGAAAGAAAGAAAGAAAGAAAGATAGAAAGAAGAAAATATAATTGTATCTATCAACTTAAGGATTGGGATAGAGATGGGACTAAAT